CATTATAAATTCATTTTTTTTTTTTTTTTAGGGTGACCGGGGGGAGTGATCTCATCACCGGAGGATTGCTATAGAGCCTGACGCCGACAAGGATTCTGGGAAAAAGCAGAGAGAAAGGTGACAGTGCAGCTTTATTAGGTGTGACGTGGACACGGCGATTCTCCTGCGTCTCCCACAAATGCCATAGAGCCACAGGATAGACCAGCCACCTGTACCTTTCCTCTGGGGTCTGGGCGGCCTGGCTTCTGAATATAATTAAGAAAACATATACAAAAAATTCTATGCAATTCCTCTTTAAAAAAAGAAGCCAATTTAAATTTTGGGACGGTCTTGACGTGTGTATTGGACCTACAGCGGCTCCTCCATGCCGGCTTCTGAGCTAGAGCGGACTTCCCCTTTAAATTGTCATTTTAGGTTTCCAAAGCAATCATTATTCGGCATTTTGTTTCCTTTGTATCAGATCTACTGTGACCTTAAATGTCTGTATTCTGCATCATAGATCTCATTATGGTCAGCTCCTCCCACATGGAGGGAAGTCAGTTCCCAGATCCAGACCTGAAGAGGAACAAAGAGAGGATGTTAGACCTCACCCTAGAGATCATCTACCTGCTGACCGGAGAGGTGAGGAGGATTCTGGGAGGTCACATGGCATCACTCTTATCTCTATTCATAAAACACAGACCTGACCGGAGAGGTGAGGAGGATTCTGGGAGGTCACATGACATCACTCTTATCACTATTCATAAAACACAGACCTGACCGGAGAGGTGAGAAGGACTCTGGGAGGTCACATGACATCACTCTTATCTCTATTAATAAAACACAGACCTCTTGATCATCTAGGGACATTGCAGCATATCTCTCTTAGACCTTAATTTTTGGTATATCTCCTTATTTAGTGTTATGGACCTTTGAAAAAGTCTGGAGGTCGCATGACATCTAGCAGCCGTCCCCTTGTGTCCAGAGGATGGAGAAGGAGCCAGAGCCCCATCATTGAGCCTCCACCGCCCTCCATGACACCTGGGAAAAATGACTGGAAGATTCTAGAAGCCACCAACGAGATGATTGAGCTGCTGACAGGAGAGGTGAGCGGTGCCGGGAATTCTGGGACATGATCCAGGAACAGACAAGGGATGTGTCTGGATGGTGACTGTATCATTGTGTGTGTCAGGTTCCTATAAGGTGTCAGGATGTCTCTGTCTATTGTTCCATGGAGGAGTGGGAGTATCTAGAAGGACACCGGGATCTCTACAAGGACGTCATGATGGAGAACCGGCCGCCCCTCACATCACCGGGTAAGAGGAGACTTTCACTTCTTGAGTATTGAGGATCCCCCTAGATACACACATCCTCTGATATAAAGACATAGAAACAATGTATTCAGTCAGTGTGTGTGTGTTTCCTACAGATGGATCCAGGAACAGAAATACCCCAGAGAGATGTCCCCGTCCTCTGTATTCCCAGGATTCCACACAGGAACATCAGGAGATCCCTCAGGTCCGTCCTCTGTATTCCCGGGATTCCACACAGGAGCATCAGGAGATCCCTCAGACCCGTCCTCTGTATTGCCGGGATTCCACACAGGAACATCAGGAGATCCCTCAGACCCGTCCTCTGTATTCCCGGGACTCCACACAGGAACATCAGGAGATCCCTCAGGCCCGTCCTCTGTATTCCCGGGATTCCACACAGGAACATCAGGAGATCCTCCAGGATTATGAGGTTTGAGGACCTTATTAACTTGGAGTCTCTGCTGTATATATATAGATAATTCTTATAAACTAACACTCTTGTTCATGCACCCATAATGTGAATACGTTGGCTTTGTTTCCTTGTTAGGGTGAAGATCTGATTGTTATTAAAGTTGAAGACGAAGATCTGTATATGATGGATGATGAGCCGTGTAAGGAGGAGGAACGTTCTCCAGAGATCAGCACAGGTGAGTAATAAACACGAAGTCCAGAAAAGAGTCCCAGATTCTCCTTGTTCAGTCAGTACAACAATCTCTTCTCCCCCTCCTCTGTCAGTAGACAGTAATGGGGGGACGGAATGTGTCTAGTGGGGGGAGTCAGGAGCCATCAGCCTCTATAAGAGTCCAGGTCTCCTCTTCAGACTCCTATGTGTTCCTCTGGAGAGCTGCATTTTGGGGCTCTTTTGTTTTCATTGGAGGACAGAAGGCGTCTCTCTTCCATGTTAGTGTCTGTTTGGGATCCTTCCCGAAAATCAGCCGACCCATCTCTTACTTTCTCGTTTCCTCTAGATAAACATCACAGAGGAAATAATACAGAAAGACACCCCGTAACCTGTACAGATGGTGGAACAAGTCCAGTAGCAAGCCCCGTTATTCCAGCTCCCCAGCGGGCTCTTGGTGGTACAGATTTGCCTTATGACCCCTCTACACGTGGGGTGTCTTTTACTGAACGTTCCCATCCCATCACCCACCACATCACCCAGAAGGTTGGCTCCACATTCCCACATCCTGCTTATGATAAGTGTTTTTCCTCTGGCGTAAAGCTGATTTCCCATCAGACAACTCAGACAGGAGAGCACCCATATGCCTGTTCCGAATGTGGGAAGGTTTTCGTCCAAAAGTCCCACCTGGTCACCCACCAACGGATCCACACAGGCGAGAAGCCTTATTCCTGCTCTCTGTGCGGGAAGTGCTTCACGGACAAGGCCAACCTGTTACAGCACGAAAGGATCCACTCTGGCGACCACCCGTTTTCCTGTTCTCAGTGCGGGAAGTCATTCAAGCAGAAGGCCCACCTAGCCATCCACCAACGGACTCACACGGGGGAGAAGCCATATTCCTGCACCTTGTGCGGGAGGCGTTTCACCCAAAAGTCGGACGTGGTCAAGCACCAGAGGGTTCACACGGGGGAAAAGCCGTATGCGTGCTCAGAATGCGGGAAGTGTTTTACGGAGAAGTCGGCCCTGGTGAGGCACGAGAGGGTCCACACGGGGGAGAAGCCGTATTTGTGCCCTCAGTGTGGAAAAGGCTTTGCCTATAAATCGGTCCTGGTCAAGCATCAACGGAACCACACGGGGGAAATGCCTTATTCCTGTGCGGAATGCGGGAAGTGCTTCAAGCAGAAGTCCAACCTTGTCACGCACCAGAGGACTCATACGGGAGAGAAACCGTTCTCCTGCTCCGAATGCGGCAAGTGTTTTTCCAGGAAACTCTATCTGGTCTCTCACCAGCAGCTTCACAGGTGAAGTCCTGCTTTTTCTGTACCTGGACCCCTCATAATGATAACAGCTTTTCGATGGCTATCGTTGGACTGCGTAGAGGTCAAAGGGAATAGGCAACAACGTAACGTTTTTGGAAAGGTTGCAATGGAAGCAGATGGGCTCCCAGGTAAGGGATGTGGCCCTCTAAAGTCGGCCTAATGTGCGTTATCTGTTTGTGTTGTGGCTTAAAAGGTAATTTTATGGCATGAGTAAAGAAGATGGACAATGGACAACACAGAGGAAACAACAACTTTGAAGTAAGCCATCTTCGAGTTTGGCCAATTCAAACCGAGCATTCATGATGAAAAGATATACTGTATGACCAAAGGTTGTGAACCCATGATCATAAGGCATGAGGTCAACGCTCCGTGAAGGCCACTTGAGATCCTCCACACCAGACTGGTAAAACCATGACTTTATGGAGCTGGCTTTGTAGACAGGGGACAGTCATGGTGGAACAGAAAAGGGTCTGCACCAAACTGGTCACACCACGTCTTTATGGAGCTGGCTTTGTGCAGAGGGGACAGTCATGGTGGAACAGAAAAGGGTCTTCACCAAGGTTGGAAGAGCACAATTGTCTGCAATGTCTTTGTATTCTGTAACATTATCGGAACCCATCCCTGGAAACACATGAACCCAATAATTCCGCATGACCACATAGTCTTGGCCATACAGGTAGGTGTGATGGTCAGTGTCAACAAATCTTTGGCCATAGGGTGTACATAAGCAGTGGTTTCCACCAAGCCATATATCAAAACAATGAGATGTTCCTAAGATAAAGTGGGTTGAAGTCTTAGGCAAATCTTGACCTTTCCTGTAAGTTTGCGCTTGGCCACACTGTCATCTGCCTCCTTGAGCCTCACAATCTATAAAAGAGAAGTAAAAATAAACTTTTTGGGGGGCTTTTTTCTCTTTGGGGGTCACAATTCAGCCAAGAAAGGTCCCAACTTTATTGTTGGGATCCATCCAGGCTTCCTAACTGACAGCTGTTTCTGCTTCTCTGCACATGGCCAAGGGTTTCTTACCTTCCATCTTCCATGCTGGACTTATTTATATACTTTTAAGAATGCAGCAGGAGTCGTTAAGCACACAAGAAGGCGGGGGAAGGAGGGCAGAAGCAGGTGCTAAGGTGGTCTTATGGAGGGAGTCTTCAAGAGGTAGAAGAACCCTTTGGGGCACCTGGCCTACCTAAACATCCATGCTTATGTACCATTCAAAGAACTGAGGCCACTTTGGTCACCCAGGTTGGTTAAATATGCCGTTTGCAGTGCAAGCTGCTGTTTGTCTGGGTTCTGTAAAAATAAAGAGGACCTGTCTCTCATCACCTTTTTTTCTTGTGTCTGTCAGTCTGGGTTGGAGGGAGAGGATGGGACATGTCTTTCAGTCTGGGGTGGAAGGAGGGAGCAAGATGTGTCCATCAGTCTAGGGAAAAGAGGGGGCAGGATGTGTCTCAGTCTGGGAAAAGGAAAAGACAGGACGTGGCCATCAGTCTAGGGAAAGAAGGGAGCAGGACGTGTCCATCAGTCTGAGGAAAGGATGGAGTAAGACGCGTCCATCAGTTTGGGGAAAGGAGGGAGCAGGACGTGCCCATCAGTCTGGGGAAAGGAGGGAGCAGGACGTGTCCATCAGTCTGGGGAAAGGAGGGAGCAGGACGTGTCCATCAGTCTGGGGAAAGGAGGGAGCAGGACGTGTCCATCAGTCTGGGGAAAAGAGGGAGCAGTATGTGTCCATCAGTCTGGAACAGGAGGGAGCAGGACGTGTCCATCAGTCTGGGGAAAGGAGGGAGCAGGACGTGTCCATCAGTCTGGGGAAAGGAGGGAGAGGGACGTGTCCATCAGTCTGAGGAAATGAGAGGACAAGATGTGGCCATCAGTCTGGGGAAAGGAGAAGCAAGACATGGCCATCAGTCTGGAGAAAGGAGAGGACAAGACGTGGCCATCAGCCTGGGAAAAAGAGCGAGCAGGACGTGTCCATCAGTCTGTGGAAAGGAGAGGACAAGACGTGTCCATCAGTCTGGGGAAAGGAGGGAGCAGGACGTGTCCATCAGTCTGGGGAAAGGAGGGAGCAGGACGTGTCCATCAGTCTGGGGAAAGGAGGGAGCAGGACGTGTCCATCAGTCTGGGGAAAAGAGGGAGCAGTATGTGTCCATCAGTCTGGAACAGGAGGGAGCAGGACGTGTCCATCAGTCTGGGGAAAGGAGGGAGAGGGACGTGTCCATCAGTCTGAGGAAATGAGAGGACAAGATGTGGCCATCAGTCTGGGGAAAGGAGAAGCAAGACATGGCCATCAGTCTGGAGAAAGGAGAGGACAAGACGTGGCCATCAGCCTGGGAAAAAGAGCGAGCAGGACGTGTCCATCAGTCTGTGGAAAGGAGAGGACAAGACGTGTCCATCAGTCTGGGGAAAGGAGGGAGCAGGACGTGTCCATCAGTCTGGGGAAAGGAGGGAGCAGGACGTGTCCATCAGTCTGGGGAAAGGAGGGAGCAGGATGTGTCCATCAGTCTGAGGAAGGGAGGGAGCAGGACGTGTCCATCAGTCTGGGGAAAGAAGGGAGCAGGACGTGTCCATCAGTCTGAGGAAAGGAGAGGACAAGACGTGACCATCAGTCTGGGGAAAGGTGTATCCTTCAGTTTCGGGAAAAAGAAGGGGCAGGGCCTGTTCATTTGTCTGGGCAATGGAGGGCGGCAGGGTGTGTCAGTCATTCAGAGTAGGAAGGGGGCAGGACATGTTCATCAGTCTAGGGAGAAAGGAGGTGGCAGAACGTGTCTGTAAGTCTGGGGAGGAAGAAGGTGGCAGGATGTGTCTGTCTGTCTGGGTTAAAAGTAGGTATCAAAATGTGTTGGTCAGTCTAGGGTGGAAGGAGGGAGCAGGACATGCCCATCAGTCTAGGATGGAAGGAGGGAGCAGGACATGTCCATCAGCCTGAGATGTAACAAGGGATCAGGATGTGTCCGTGACTCCGGAGGAAGGAAAGTGTGACTGTCAGTCCGCATTGAGGGCTTTACATGATACAGGAACTATATATAGGCCTCCAGCCCAGCTTCATACCAGCGTACTTGATATTACTGCAGTTGTGTGACATCCTGAAGACCATGGACCTCCAGGAGGCTCCCCCAACAGCCCATGCTCACTGTTGCTTTGTTCAGCCAGATCTTCTGTCCTCTGAGTTCCCACAGAAGAGGGACAATGTGGACAAGGTGCAATTGGGAAAGGGCCAAACAACTTCTACCAAGGAAGCGAACACAAAAGAGTTTCCCAGAAAAACTGAATATAATTTATGTCTACTGCACGGAGCTTTCAAATCATGCCGTTCAATTGGTGTTGCCAATTGTTTAATATGTTTTATTGCCAGTGAATTGAGAACATCGGAGTTGGGCTGTGACAGTAAGCAATAGAGCAGAGACACAGGAACTGAGTGGTGACAGTGATGAGGTGGTCTGGAGGAGACCATAGACACTGGAGCTGAAGGTTCTGGAGGAGAGTAGAGAAATTGGAGCTGAAGGTTCTGGAGAAGAGTAGAGACACTGGAGCTGAGGGAGTATGGAGCAGAGCAGAGACACGGAAGCTGAGCAGTTTTGAAGGTAAGCAGAAACAGAAGCTAAGCAGGTCAGGAGGAAAGCAGAGACACAAGAGCTGAGCAGGAGGAGAACAGAGACAAAGGAGCTAAGCGGGTCAGGAGGAGAGCAGAGACACAGGAGCTGAACGGGTCAGGAGGAGAGCAGAGACACAGCAGGTGACCAGGTCTGGAAGAAAGCAGAGGCAGAAGCTGAGCAAATCTAGAGGAGAGCAGAGACACAGGTGCCGAGTAGGTCAGGAGGAGAGCAGAACCTCTGGAGTGTGGGAACAGGTAGGTTGATTATTGATCACTATACCCTACACCCCTTTCCTTGTACACTTGCTATAATACTATCTCTATTGACATCACACAGACCTGACCGGAGAGGTGAGGAGGATTCTGGGAGGTCACATGACATCACTCTTATCTCTATTCATAAAACACAGACCTGACCTGGGAGGTGAGGAGGATTCTGGGAGGTCACATGACATCTCTCTTATCTCTTTTAATAAAACACAAACAGGTTCTTGGAAAGGGTCACACCCCCCCTCCCCTTTAATGGGTTATGCATATTACAAAGTATATAAACAGAAGGTTGAGAAGAGCACGGAGCCTGGGAGAGTCTGAACCTTGTGAACCATTAGGCCTTCATTCACACCTTTGCACTTTTCTACACACAAGCATCTGTTTTTGAACATTTTATTTAAGAAAGAGGTGGGCTTTATACACGGGTCTTTGTACATGCCCCCCACCCCCCAATGGGGAACCTTCCTCCAGGGGCTTGTACATGCCCCCACCACTCTCCAATGGGGAACCTTCCTCCTGGTTTGTACATGCCCCCCGCCACCACTCTTCAATGAGGAACCTTCCTCCTGGTTTGTACATGCCCTCCACTACTCTCCAATGGAGAACCTTCCTCTTGGTTTGTACATACCCCCACCACTCTCCAATGGGGAACCTTCCTCCTGGTTTGTACATGCCCCCCCCCCCCCCCCCCCACA